ATTCTCTGCCAGCTGAATCTACTTGACATTTCCCTGGCATCAATGCTCATAATTGCAAATCCTTCATGCCACTACATATGATCCACACACATTGCCTAAAAGCAAAATAATGCCCTTAGGCAGGGGTGTCGAACTCAATTCCTGGAGGGCCGGAGCCCTGCAGAGTTTAGTTCCAACCCTGCTCCAACACATACCATGTAGTTTTCAAATAAGCCTGAAGGACTTGATTAGTTGGATCAGGTGTGTTTAATTAGGGTTGCATCTAAACTCTGTAGGGCTCTGGCCCTCCAGCAATTGAGTTTGACACCCCTGTCTTGGGGTGTTTCTCAAACGGAAGGCTGAATCCTACAAAGGCTGCATATCTCGGCTGTCACGTCATCAAACGTTGCTGAAAGCCATCTCAATCGCAAGGATCCTTGGAAGGCAGCCTTCGTTTCGTGTCCTTCATTCAGCTGAATTTGAAGGATGCATGGGATGTATCCTTTGCTACCTTCAATCACCCACAATCCTTTGTGCCCATTCCATTTCATGAAAACTGATGAAAAACGATTCAGTACTGAGCTTGTCTGAATTTATTATGAAATGTAAGACAAAAATAATGTTTTCGGACATGAAAGCATAGATGTTATTTTTCGTTTTGGTGTAAATTACTCACTAAACGCTAAACTGCCAATAATGTAAGCGAGTGGGAGACTAGACGGCTGTGATTCATTGTATTGAATTAATAGAAAGCCAAATAATAGAATGATTTGTAATACAAAGTATTTTTCCAAAACAAAGTTTTATTAGTATTTTCGTGCCTTGGCGGTGAGGGCGGGAACATATGTGACGTAGCCACGCGCCCTTACTAGACTGTCTCATTCTAGCGTTTAATGCCGAGGAGGACTCTAGCCTACAAGCCTCTGAAGGACTGAGCTAGGAAGGGCACAGCCTCGGTAGGATGCAGCCTTCCGTTTGAGAAGCACCCTTGGAGTCTTTACTACTGAGCTGATGACCTGAATCAGGTGTGTTTGATTAAGGAGACATGCAAAACGTGCAGTGTTGGGGTGCCTCCAGGACCAGGGTTGGGAACCACTGACATACAGTATACACTACCGATAAAAGCTTGGGATGAATAAGTTTTTTTTTTTTTTTAAGAAATCTATGATTTTATTCAACAAGGACACATTAAACTGATCAAACGTTACAGTAAGGACATTTATAATATTACAAAATATGTATTTCTAATAAATGCTGTTCTTTTGAACTTCCTAATCATCCTGAAAAACAGTTTCAGGCAGCACAACTGTTTTCAACACTGATCATAATAATAATAATGAATGGTTCTTAAGCAGCAAATAAGCATATCAGAATGATTTCTTAAGAAAGAGTAATCTTTCAACTTTGCTATCACAAGAATAAACTACATTTTAAAATACACTAAAAAAAGAAATTTTAAATTAATAATATTCCACAATATTGCTATATTTTTAATTCAACCCCAAACTTTTGAACAGTAGTGTATTATCTAAATTAACTATGTTTTATGAAGCTATCTTTACCAGTGGGTCTCCCTCTGTGTCGCTCTGAGACACTTGTTTGGAGGTGGCTCCGTCTTTAGAGGAGCTGTAGCCATCATAGCCCACGTCCTCCGGCCGCAGCTGCAGCAGTGACTGGCCTTCATGCTGCAGGGAGGCGGAGCTCCAGGGGTAGGTGTCAATCACCCATTTGGACGGGTCCTCCCATGCCGCCCTCTTACCATACAGCTGGAGCAATGAGCCAAGCAGATAACAAAAAGTTTTAGCTACAAACTGTGAGAAAAAAAAACCAATACATTGAGTGTTGTGGCTGCATGTGTACCTGCAGTCCTTCTCGTACTGCTTCCAGTAGATATGGCACCAGAGAATAGTTCCAGAGGTCAGTAAACCACACACGTGAGCCGTCCGCATCCATCGGACAGGACAGAAACAGCCGAGGACCTGGGAGTGACAGATGAAATATCTCACCTCTGTTCTGTGAATAACCAGATCAAATGCGGCTTATGCGTTGTGTGTATTACCGATAGTGACGTCTGAGGAGCTGTGAGCCTCTAAGAAGGAATTGAGGTGTTGCCAGGTTTTTGGAATCCAGTCGATGATTTTGATGAGGTCGTTACTGCGCATGTTTTTATCAATCTCAGTTTCAATCAGCTTTCTTCTCAGGAATCGGCCCAGGAAGCCCTTCACTGGCTCAGTGTGATTGGCACACAGCACCCACCTGAGGGAAAGAAGGTCTGATATTACACTGAGAACATGACTGGAAAGATCAGTGTGTGTATGTGTTTTTTGTACTGTTCGTGTATGTATATGTGTAAGTGACAAATGTAAAATATGATCACTTATGGCCCCCATGTGGCAAGAGGCTGTAATAACAATCATCAGATCATATCTGAGTACCATACCTGAAGTTGTGATGCAGCTCCAGGTTTGGAGATGAGGACACACCCTGGTTCATAGTTCCTATGACATACGGGCTGTGAAAGGGACAGTTGCACATTATTAGATGTAATTCATTTATATTTGATCAGTTTGACAGACAAGGAAAATCCACAATAATGGGTGTCATACTGCGGTTCCAGTATTGGATGCTGACTGGTCAATAAAGCTTAAATACATGATGGTTAATTCAAATACATGAATTAACATAATCTTTTAATTTTAAATTGTGTGGAAAAATGTATGTCCATTTTACTATTATTAGGTAGTAACCAAAATGAAGTCTGTGTTTAACAAGACTGTTCGTATTTGATCAAAAATACTGTAATGTTGTGAAATTTTTAAATGTATTCATATGATGTAAAAGCTGAATTTTTAGCAGCCAATACTCCAGTCTTTAGTGTCATGAATATGTTGATTTGGTGCTCAAGAAACATTTCATATAATTATCAATGTTGAAAACAGTTGTACTGCTTAATATGTTTGTGGAAACCATGATACATTTTTTTGGGATTCTTTGATGAACAGAATGTTCAAAAGAACAGCATTTATTTGCAATAGAAATCTTTTGAAACATTATAAATGTCTTTTTGAAAAACATGTAAAAAATGTCAATGTAAAATCTTATTGACCACAGACTTTTGAATGGTAGCGTATATACACAGCTAAATAAATACTGTATGTAAAAAAAAAAGTTCTAAAATTTGTATAATAACAGGAATATTCACCATTTGTGATATTTGCAGTTGAGGAATCCATTAAAGATGTCACTAAGGGAGCCAATATGATGGAGGTTATCCAGAATAACTACGGAGGGCAGCTCGATCTCACACTCCTCTGTGTTGCACTGCTCAGCCAGACTTGAAAGGTACTGCCGAAGATCCTGCTTAAAGCAAAGCAAAAGCACATTAAGTGTTACAATCTGCAGATAACCTACTTAAATACTATTATATAATTAATATATCAGCAACATTGATGGATGGCGTGAGTTTGAGGTGGTTCAACCAGTAGCAGATGGGGGAAATGTATGGAAAACCTTCATTAAAACACTTATTTTTGCAATTCCATTCATTTCCACTAGCAGCGCACATTACAATGATTTATTTAGAGCCCTTCTCAGACTGGAAATATGTACCTTGCTGGATTTCTGGTCCACATTGAAGCTAGCCAGGTTAGTGTCGGTCACCTCTTGACCAGTCTTGGAGATGATGTAGTAAGCTACTTTAGTGGCTAGATAGGATTTACCGGTTCCACTGGGACCAGACAGGATAATTCTACGGTGCTCCATCAGCAGGTTTAAGTAGCGTTGAATGATGGGTTTAGGAATCAGTGTGTCAAACACCAGGTCATCAATGCTACCCTCCTTCACACCTACATAAACAAAAAGACACTTGCTTCAAATCTTTGCAGCACATTTGGCCTCTTTTATTGATCCTACAAGAACCTTCCTAGGTTCCTCACCTTTGAGACTGACTGTGATGACGTTGTTGTCGCCCACCAGATATCCACACGGCAAGAGTTCAGGAACCTCAGAAGCATTAGATCGGACCACATCCCCCATCCTGTAGCACACTATACTATCCGAATTCAGGCCTAAACTGGTCAATGGATCCACGCGGAACACATACTCCTAAATCCAAGCAAATAAATCTGTTAGATTTGAAATATGGCACCTGAAATATACCTCTAATTTAGCAAGAGGCTAAACTGGCACCTTAAACAAGCGTCGTATTACACCGTCCAAAACATCCCACTTAGTCTTGCCGCTGACGCCAATGGAGCCAATCAGATACTTCTTCTTCTGCATTGCCTAAAATGATGAGAGGATATAAAATGATGCTTATAAGGTAATGTTTATATGTCAAAATAGCTACTGTAATTAAAACAGACTAGTTAAAGTCACTCTAGACCTTGGTTTTGTTGGAGTCGCTGTTGATGGTGACCACTATACGGACACTTCTGCCCTCTTTGCGTAGATTGCCCTCGTAGCCATCATCCAGCAGAATATCTGTGCACACAAACGCAAATTTCAAACTTACTTTGTGACAAAAATATCAAAGCCTGAACAACGTAAAAGACTTAATGAGTCATTAACTGTGGAGGAGAAGAACTTTTCCTGTGCTGACAAATTCGGCAAGCGAAGGCACTAATGTTCAGCTTTGACTGTAGTTAAACGCCGACTGATTTAAGCTTTGCTGTCTGTGGGGCTGAGCTGTTTGGTTTTAAAAGGGCTTTGATTACAGGAAGAAGGCTGTTAGTGGAGGAGTGCGGCTTTGATGGGCCTTGTACGAAGAGCTCGGTGAATGTATTTGTCTGGCACTCTGTTCTGCAGAGGGGTGATAACTTCCTTCCACCGCACGTCTGCCCACGCTCTAGTGCTCCTCCACACATCTCTTCATCAATTAAGCAGCCCAAAGTCCTGAGAGAGCACAGAAGTCACTACTTTTAATTAGCCGGAGCGCAGACGAGTCTCCGCCAACCTGTCCGGAAACGTGGCCACAGGCCCGGCATTCAAATCCTCCCTTACAGAAAAGAGGCCATTTCACTCTTCGCTGCGTTCATTCTCTTCCTGCACAGCTGCGAAATGGTCTTCCCCATGCCAGAGTTTTCATCAGCACCACAGTAGAATCATCAATAATACAGCCATATGCAAATCTACACTGCGGTCCATGAGCCCGAGCACACTGGTGGAAAACGAAATCATCAGTTCGAAAAATATCTACATGGACAGTTATGACGAGAAGATTATATGTATCAAGTTTGCTTGCAATGCTTTTAATGGTGACCTTATATGCCAAATAGAATCAAGTCTCACAAGGAAACACTAATGTAGCATTGTTGCTATCATGTATCACTAAAACATTGAGTCATAAACTTTGCTTGGTTGGAACAGCAGCTACGCTAATTTAGTCTCTATTTGCTTCTCTGTTTCTGCTACTAGACTTGCACCCAGAGGCAACTAGGAATTACACAAGCTTCGGTCTGGATCCAACCCTTATAAAGATCTGAGATGACCGAACACCTCAGCAGAGATGATGCCAACCCCCCAGAAGACCTCAGATGATGTTAACCCTGGAACAACATATAAAACTACCAAATGTTGCTTAATCGCAACGTTTAATCGCAATCACAAAGTTTAATCGCAACATATAATCATTGCAGTTAAAAGTGTTCACCGTCTGTTTGATTACGTGTAATTTGTAACTAACTGCATGATTCTTACTGAACATTTCTGCCAAAATCACCACTAATAACATACTCCTAAATATAATGTAGAAACTTCATATTTTCTGTAAAGCTGCTTTGCAACGATTTGTATCGTGAAAAGCACTTTACAAATAAATTTTAATTTAACAATTAAAAACAGCCATTTTTATGGCTCATTTATAATAATAAAGGCTAATCTGGCCTTTACACCAGATTTAATTTTTTATTTTATTTTTTTAAATATGAGTACTTGCCCATGTAAAATGTCACTACCATGATGCTAGCTGCAGATGGTTGCAAGGCCATTGCTCTGTGATTTGTAAGGTGTTCTGAGAGTTTTTAGAGCATTGCTAACTCAAAATCGTGAATCGAATCGAATCGAATCGTTAGTTGAGAGGATCGTTACATTCCTAAAAACTACCAAATTTTGCTTAATCGCAACGTTTAATCGCAATCACAAAGTTTAATCGCAACATATAATCGTTGCAGTTAATAGTGTTCACCGTCTGTTTGATCACATGTAATCTGGAACTAACTATATGGTTTTTACTGTACATTTCTGCCATAGTCACCACTAATAACCTACTCCTAAATATAATGTAGAAACTTAAAATGTTCTGTAAAGCTGCTTTGCAACGATTTGTATCGTGAAAAGCACTTTACAAATAAATTTTAATTTAACAATTAAAAACAGCCATTTTTATGGCTCATTTATAATAATAAAGGCTAATCTGGCCTTTACACCAGATTTAATTTTTTATTTTATTTTTTTAAATATGAGTACTTGCCCATGTAAAATGTCACTACCATGATGCTAGCTGCAGATGGTTGCAAGGCCATTGCTCTGTGATTTGTAAGGTGTTCTGAGAGTTTTTAGAGCATTGCTGTATGGCTATAGGGTGATTTTAAAGGTTGATAGATGGTTGCTTATTGGTCCATATTCAAAGAGTCCAATCCCAAGTCTCTATGATATTTTGATTAATAGATAGGGCCCCATTAATGTAAACCTATGGGATTTTGTCAGTGATTTTATCATATACCACTAACAATTAAGATTTCTATCCATTTATCTATCTGAAAACTGTTATACTGTACTTTTGTTGCATAATATGAGGTATTAGCTTTTATACTGTAAATGTCCATGTTGCATAATGTATATACTGTTATATTTGAGTACAGGGGGAAAAAAAGCTTATGTAATTGCTGTTATTTAAAAGTGCCATCATTCTGGAATTCTAGCTGCTTCCATAACATAATAACATCTGCAGAACATTCAAGTGCTTTACAGAATCCTCCAAAACAAGGCCAGTGCCACATTTTGATGTTGCATACTTCACATAGACATTGTTAGACCCAAATAACAAAGACTAACCTGACATAATGGTGTCTGTGATGTTGAGGTTGTTCAGCGACAGCCCCAGAGATTGCCGTGACGATGAGGAGGATGTGCTGGAGGTTTCTGAAGGGGGACGGGCTGTTTTAGCAGGTGTGGCAGCAGGTGTGGTGTTGCCGCTGGACTTCAGTCTGTCGTTCTCGGCCTTCAGCAGCTCAATCTCATTCTGCATGTAAAAAAAAACAGGTAATGTCAACACTACAGTGACAGTTTTGACAAATGTATGTATATATCCCTAACTGAACAGAACCACATATTCAATTCACACACAATATTAGGTGACTAAAAAAATCACTAATCCACATTTGGTCACGTTAAGAAGGGAAAAGTAAAAGTAACTTTCCCCACACGCTTCAAAATTGAGTTAAAAACACCTTTTGTGACATGCTAAGAAGATTAAGACTTGCTTTCTGTTGTCTAAGTTTCTAAACGCTTTCAATGACTGTGAGAAGTTAGTTTAAAGATTTCTTTAATCTTTAGATTAGTCTTGTGTGCCAGGCTCTGCAAACCGGTGCTAAGGGGAAGCTCAGACAGATACTTCAAAAGTATGAACAACTCCGTCTGGTTGTTTTATCTTGGAATTAGAGCAATTTAGCCCTTTTATCAACAGTTTCTCTGATCTTAGTCATTCAATCACTCTGTTACAACTTTAAATTATGTGGTCTGAATTTGTAGCACAATGTAACAAGTATTTGCCAGCAAACAGTTTCTTAAACAAATCAACTCTCTCTGGCTCTTTTAAAAAGTATATGGGACTCCACAAAGTTCTTATAATCTACCCACCACTGCTATTAGTGTTCTGTGTGGATCATAATAATGTGCTTTGCCATAATATTAAAACACAAATATCCATTTATTATTATTATTATTATATACACAACTGTTCAAACGCATGGTGTTAGTAAGATTTTTGTTAAAGAAATTAATACCTTTATTCAGCAAGGACACATTAAAGTGACAGTAAAGACATTTATAATTTTACAAATAAATGCTGTTCTTTTGAATTTTCTATTCATGAAAGTATCCTAAAAATCCATCATGGTTTCAACACTAAAGACTGGAGCAATGGCTGCTGACAATTTAGCATTTTCATCACAAGAATAAATGACATTTTAAAATATACTGAAATAGAAAACACTGATTTTAAATTGTTTTAATATTTCACAATATTACTGTTTTATTTTTTATTTTATACAAATAAATCCTTGATAATCATGAGAGACTTAAAAAAAAAACATTACAAAATGTTACCCAGATTTCCATAGATCACTGCATTGCACAAAAACACTGTATAAGAATTCACAATGCATTGTTATAATGTTGCAGAGCTCTGGATTGAGTCAGCATGTATACGCGGGTATGTGTGTGTGTGTGTGTGCATACCTGCATGCGGTTCATGGCTTCTCGTATCTGGTCAAGGTGGTGGGCGGAGCTTAGCGCCTCCAGTCTGATATCAGTCAGCTTCAGCTCCTTCTCTCTCAGCTCGTTCTTCAGCTGGAGGATAATCTCTGCCTCGGCCTCTGTACATTCACACAGTCTGCACAAACACACACCGCACAGGGAGGAGGGAGTCACAACACTGTTACAGATCCAAGAGAGCTACAAAACACAGGCGGGTTTAATGCACAACAAACTCCTGGAGTATTAAACCTGATCAGAATATTTATGTACACAAACACTTTGATGCACACATATTCACACTCTGGGCTTTGTGTTTTATATTTGTGAGTGGTGTTTGCTGCATTCCATTCAAAGTTGGACATAGTTCTTGATATCTCTGAAACATTGTTCGATGTTTGAAAGATGAGGAAAAAAAGTAAATGTTTAGCATTAACTGTTTAATTTTCTTTGGGTGCCACCATGTTCAACTGACATCATAAATCTCCATACTTTGGAAACAGAGTTGTGAATTTCCGCATGTTTGGAATCCAGACTTTTAGTAGGGCTTTTCCAGGTAAGAAATTCCAACATTTTGAGTTAAATAGAATGCAGCTTTAGAGATTACGCACATTACCAACACAAACAGGAAGTAGAAATCGTTCATGTTGTCCAGTATTAAGCACAGGCAAATTATTAGTTAAAGCAACATGTATTAAATAAAATTTTAATGTACAGTAGTAACTTTTCATACTCAGGCAATCTCCGATTTTATTACTATTACACATGAGTTTGACTATTTGACTATATTTATTTAGTTTTTACAAAAATGTTTCTAATAAAAGTTTACATTTTTAAATTAGTACATCTCCCATTACAATTTAAATTCGAATTAGTTTGCGTCATTAAATGCTCATGTGAAATGTGACTGAAATATAGGGGAAGGGATATCTTTTGTTAATTTTAGTCACTGCACACTCTCAACCCTTCCCAGCATGCCACACTGTGCCTGTTACCGAGATCTGTGCTTGTAGACCACGTGACCGTTTGACTTTTTCTTTGGCATCCAAATGGGGGAGGACTTGCTATCGCAAAAACACTTTCTAAAGACACATGACATTGAGGAACAGGGACAGAATACAGATATGATTAAGGGAAAGGATGAAATATAAATATGATTATCAAAAAAGAAAGAAAGCAAAAGATAATACATAAAAAAATATAGCAATAAAATCACTAAACAATACAATAAGTGGAAGTTACTGATGAAGAATAATGATGATTTATTGGATGTGTTGTTGTGGTCCTTTATGAAATAGAAATAAAATATATAAAAACATAACAAATATGTAAATGCTTATGCATGTACCTGATTTCACAGAGGTGTGTATGTACTGTATATATGTGTTTCTGTACTCACTCAGTGGTGGAAGGGGATGAGCACAGTGGTTGGGTGGTGCTGGTCTGTCTGTTGGTGTGTTGTAGTTTGGGTGAAGAAGGAAGGGAGGAATCAGTCATCTCTTCAATCTCATCGTGAGACGACTGGGGCTTGTTGGTCTTTTTCTTGCTGAAGGCCTGCTTGAAGGAGCTCCGCAACTGTGAGTAAACAACACAAATCAATACAATTAATATAGCCAGACAACATTCATTTATTTCAAACTATTCTGTGGTCAGGCAGAAAAAACGGATTGAAAAGATTCATAGTTCGGGAGAATTATGTATCTGTATTACCTCTGGATATTTCAGTAAAAATTTATAACAAATTTCATTAATACTATTAAAGGAACAATCTGGCTCACTCGCATGCTGTCAGTTACCACAGAAAGTAATTTACCTTACAAGGAAACAACAAGGTAAAGTGTGTACAGAAATGCACTTACAATGAAAGTCTATACAACATACAAGCTTTCCATTGTAAGGGCATTACTGTAAACATATATTTTATTTTTTACAGGATAATTTATCTTCTGCGATAACCAAATACATGGAACACAAGTTTTATGTAGCCCAAAATATTACTTTAGCCTTTTCCTTTTTTCCATATATATATATACACATACAGAATTATCCATATAATCCAGAATTAAATACTGAATTGCATTAAAAAGTTTTATAAAGTGTTACTGTTTAGATAAACACATCACATGGGTGATTTTCGGTCAGGTTAAAAATAAGGTTGATTGTAACATTTCGGGAGGGGAGATAACGGTTTGCTCGTATAATTCACTGAGCAGAACTAATTAAGCAGCAGGAACATACTGGCAGTCAGTGGGACTGGGGATGCTGGTGGCATGCACACGTTTCTGGAAACACTTTTTGGGATTTGGGGGGGAGGGGGCAGTTAATGGGGGTAAGGTTATCAGAGGCAATCGGCCGCAGTAATGCGGGACGTGGAAACACTGACCTGGGCAGGGATGGAATCAGCCACCTAAGGACAAAACACACTCACTGTTACCATTGACTGAAACGTGCACCGCTGGACCAGAATATTCAGACACAGCGGCATCATTTATTCATTGTTCATTTGATTAGCTCTGAATGGCTTATGGAGGCTGTGTCTGTCTGTATGGAACTAGATAATTTCACATAACGGCATTCCACAAGATATTTTTTTCTGACCTGGTCTTGCTCAGCTAATATCACATATCATATTTTTATGTATGTATGCATGTATTTTTTTATTTTGTATGTATTTGTATGTGTTTTTAATTAAATAGTTTCTTCTTTTGTTCATATACACACAAATAATATATATTGCATATTCAATATTTATTTATTTACTTATTTATATTTATTTTATATGTATTTCATATACACACAAATAATATATATCACATACTAAATATTAATTAATGTTTAATTAAAACTGTAATATATTATATATTCTTTAAAAAAATCTGAAGGAATGTAAGATGTAGTGACAATGAGGTGTATTGAAATATCGGTGTATTAAAAAAGTATTTTTATGTGTTAGAACATAAATATATAATATCATATATTTTTTCTTTTTATACAATAAAATGTGTACATACATACATACATACATGTATGTATTAATGACATTTAATATTATATTTATCATATATTTTAATCAAAATATGTAGTATACACAAGAAATGTAAACAATCATGGAACATAGAGTGACAGTGCAAGACTAGTGTATAAAATTTTATTTTTAATAATCTAGATTTAGTATTGTGCAAGATAAAACAGATTTTTTTTCATTAAATATTTCCATATATGTTGTATATTAAGTGATTTTTCATAAGATAGTCCTGCAAATCTCTCACAATGTATCCTTATTGTTAAGCCCTGCTATGAATATATTGTTTTGCAACCCTTGTCTCACTCACTTCCTCTTTAGTTTTTCTTTCACCTTTGAGCAGCATTTCCAGAGCCTTTGAATCCAGAGATCACACTGCCTCAAATTATGCAGATGAATAATTAATGGGCGCATAAATAAAGAGGTGATTTGTATTTATGAGCTCAGTTTGAGCTCTGCTCTCATTACAAGAGTCCAGGGCAGCTCGAGGAAAAGTAGCCATAACTGCTGCACACACTGCCAATGTTATTTTTCAAACAGCTGTTTACCTCAAGTGCTCTTGACTTAATGCACACCCTAAATGAGAAGAAACAACAACCCCCTAGCATTAGGAGATAATAAATCTGTAAAATAACTGCGAACTAGAACAGCTGACTAGAAGTAAAACATGCACAATTGCATCTTAATAACATAAATATATCATCAGTAATGACTGCAACTTGAGCGAAAAGATGTTCTTAATTAGTGCATTCCTCAAAAGAAGATATAAAGATTGGTTTTCTAAAGGGTAAGCACTGAAGGGTGAGGAAGTTTAGGGGTTTGAAGGGCCAGTGATGGGAAAAAAAGTGGGACGAGCATGTCGGATCCTCCATAGGGCATGCAGGAGAGTTTGAGGTTGTGTTATAGTCACCTTGTGTCCTCTATCCTTGCCCTGGTGGTGTGGTGAGAAAGTGAGAGACAGAGAAAGTGTGAGAGAGGGCGAGAAAGAGGGAGAGACAGCCGGAAGGGGGTGAAATGACAGAAATGTTTGTGCTATTTGTTCTTCATGTTCCCAAAGTCGAAACTGAGTGAAAGTAGATGCCACTACTAGAATGATGACTGAATTAATATCACTTCATAGTAAAAGAATTTGATAAAAGCCTTATAAGATTATCAAGACACACTTGTCTACTTGCTTTGTTTTTGCAGTGTTAGTCAAGGTTGCAAAAGCAGTTGCTAAATACCTAAAATGCATTAATATATAGACATAGGTTGCAACGTCATAACTGTGATGGTTTTCCATAAATTGGGTAAATGTATTTGGACACTTAAGTCGCATTTAAAAATGCATGGACATCATTACATAATAACGAAATGTATGAATGATTACATAATATCTAAATAATAAAATATTAAAGAAAATATTATTTTACAGACAAGAAAAACACATTTTATGTAAAACAAGAGATATTTTTCATTAAACATTTTTATATTTGAATATTAAATTACATTTAATATATAAGGCAAAAAAAACACTGTCCTGTGATCATTCAATATAAATCATTAAATATCTGTTCAAAATTAATTTATGGAAAATTTCTGGTTATAAAACCTTAAGCAGGGTTTCTGCAGGAATTTTTTAAAGACTTTAAGACTTTTTAAGACCTGCACAAATAAAATTAATACCATATGAGCGGGGTAGGGCAATGTCTATAGTACCATATTAAACTGTAAAATTACTGTAAAAAGCATCATTTACAGTTCAGATACAAGTTTTCACAAAAACAAAAAGTTTTATAAAATGATAAACTTTACATTTCAGCCTTTAAACCATTTTTCAAAAGTATTAATTACAATATTAATTTAAACAATTATTAACAATAAATTATTATATCAATTAAATAACATAAATTAGGGATGTGCGATATTGACAAAAAATGATATCTCGATAATTTACAGGGATTTTATCGATAACGATAATTAGACAATATTTTGCTGAGTGGGTTATTGTGCTGATATCTTATCTCTAATTGTGCTGACAGCTGACTCCTGAATTTTTTTATATTCTTCATATTCTGTGTGGTCAGTACACAGCAGTGATAGAAATTAATCATTTCCAACAAGTTTTATGGGCATTTTTACCTTTAAGCCATTTTTTTCTAAAAGTGTGCACCACCTTTTGAGTCAAATTCTTGCATTTGGGTTGTTACCAAGCAAATTAAATCAGTATCAACAAAATGTTTCTTTGCAATGCAGAGGAAACACAGAAGCTGCATTAGAAGTGTCATTTAGATGCATTTACACACTGTTTAATGCAGCTCTGAGGGACATGGAATACTTTAACCTGCGGTTACAACTGCATAAATAATGTTTTGATATTTTAAACATAAAACTATATGAAATTATATAAATATATACATTTTCTGCCCCATATCTTGAATTATGTGATAATTCTAAATGCATTTTAATAGACTGATTCATGCAGTGAAAGAACGCACTCTAAATGCGCACGCGCACTAGTCTAACCTGCTAGACCTCATCATCTAATGTATGCGTGCACTCTGTAGGTGTTTTATTTGCTTTTCGCGATATACTCGATAATATCAAATCACACATCGTTAAAAAACAATTACGATATTATCGCAGACCATACATATCACAAAATCGCAGACCATACATATCACACACCCCTATTCTGTTTAGATTTTTATAATGCATTGTCTTCTTATCGATCCATCAGTTCACATTTAAAGCTCTGCGTGTTTGCAGGGTAAAAACCATGGGTCGATTTTTGCATTTGTCTGAACTCTGAACAAAAAATCAGTTTTATTGAAAATTCTCATTCATTCTGACAGCAGGTGGAGCATTTGCTAGAAATATCACTGTTTCCCCAGTAACAGCAGAACACAAAGCAGAGCAGCACTGGACTTTGAACGTGCAGTGCTCATGTTTATTTAATGAAATCATAGCCTTTTGAAGTTTAATCATCACATTCAGCCATATCGCAATTCTGGTCTTTCCGTCCCCAAATTTAAGACCTCTTGAAATCATAATTGAGACTTTCTTGTACAATTTAAGACTTTTTTAGGCCTTAAATTTGATACAACTAAATTTAAGACTTTTTAAGACTTTTTTAAGTCAGGACTTTTTTAAAACCCTGTTAAGGTCACTAAAATAACCTTGACACCAGTTCATTGCAAAAACGATGCTGGAAATTTAGTTTTGAGTAAAGTTCTAGCAAATTTGAATGCATATGCTACTTAGCATGATATTTTGTTGTAGTGACGTCAATATATATATTTTTTAAATCTTGCTTATGTGTCCGCATAATTCTGAGGGCACTGAAGGTCATCATTTTTTTTTTGCTATTCTGTGCTCTTTCATCACAGTTGTAGTCATCGTTCTAAATTTGGACAAGCCTTGTGGTGTGATGATGAAGCTTTGTGCAATGACTCACCCAGCTTTTCTTCTTTTTCTTCTTGTCATCTGCATCTTTAGCGCTACCCATACTGGAGTGGCTGGCTGCACTGTTAATACTGGACATACTTTCTGACGAGTGCTGTCGACGGATCCTCAGGTCTGCTACACACACAAACACACACACAATGGTCAATGCATAATAAACATATTTGAGAGTTACAGTGAGACAACATGGAAGTGAATACTGCCAATTTTAAGAGCAGAAAAGTGAAGCTTACAGTTTTAGAAAAGCACTTACTGTAGATTAATTCTTCTGTTAAAACTTGTATATTATTTAAGCTGAGAAGTTGCTTAAATGGTTTATTTTACAGTTATTTCTGTGATTTTTGTGTGTCACTTTGTCATGGAAACAAAGAAAAATGGCCTGGACCTTTAAACAGGAAATGTTTGTAATTGATTTTGTCATGTTAAAAAAGAAGAAAGTCCAAATTCACTGAACAGCAGTAAATGTGACCGCACCTTATCCAAAATATTTATTTAATAATGTAAAACAGAAAGTTCTGACAGATTTCAATGTACACAAGCAGCACCTCTATCAACGTGATCGGGGCCGTTGAGGGCCACTTGAATGGCCGTCTGAGCATCTGTGTTCTGAGCTTTCAATGCCTCAATGGTCTCTCTTAACTCTGCAAGCTCGGATTCCTACAACACAATCACACAAACACAGTTACATTGAACATGAACCACTTCCTTTAATTGCTTAGAAAAGTAAAAGCACACCTCTTCCCAACAAGCCACATGATTATGATTAATGTCTGTTGCTCAAACAGTGCAGGGCTGAAGTTGAACACTTACAGTAAGTGGTTTGTTCAAATCCCAAACTCTAAGTATGCACAATAATATTTGTGATGCCAGCAAACATTGCTAATTAAAATATCACATCAGCTTAACTTCAGAATCACTAGACAGGAAGTGAGCGACATGGCACTTTCAGTTTTTGACCCTACACAAACTCTTTTGTATGCAAAACGCAAACTCCCCCTCGTACCACCAGCTGTCTTATTCTTCTATCAGATTTTTCCTGCCAAAAAAGCACATGTGGAGATAAGTGCCCCGCTGATCTGAGGAACCGAGCATGTGTTGCGGGCCCACAACCCTCCTATTTCACCGCCACATGGTCTCTGTATATGCAGAGCTCAGGATTTTACAGCTTGTGATAGGGTTTCTGCTTTAATTGAAAGTCGGGCCGCTTTAACAAAGACATCTCTCTGTAATCTCTGATGGTTTATTCAAGAGGGATTAACAGCGGCAGGAACTCGTTAAGTCGATGAGGGTGCTTTGTGCAAATTAAGGGAGCAGTTTCACATTTTAAACTGAAGGTTACATTTACATGATGACTGGATGGTTTTGTTGAGGGAGGTTGGAAGAAAGTAATATTTTCGTATTGGTAGAATACGGTATGTGCTATTGAATCTCAACTAACATTGAAAACATTCAAATGTTATTGTACTTATTTTTGTGAGTAAGATCATTCGTACCTTTTGCTCCGCTGTCATGGTTAGACTCTGCAGTCGACAGGTCATGTTCGCCAGACTTTTCTCAAACGCCGCCACCAGGTGTCCCTGTCAAAACACACAGAGTTTCTTTCTGAAGATCCTTCACCAAATCCACAGAGTAATCCAGACAGAATTCTGGGACAAACTGTTGCAAAGTGAAACTTGCAACTACTGTAGGTACAAGCCAGGTTATCAAAGTTCAGTCATTGAAAATCTAGAGGAAGTTATATGAAGAAATAATAGTTATGTTGATACCATTCAAAAGTCTGAGGTTTTTAAAGTTTTCGAAAGAATTCTCTCATGTAAAGAAATGCAGCATTTATTTGAGCCATTACTTCAGTCTTCAGTGTCACATGATACTTCAGAAATCATTCTAATATGCTGTTTTGGTGCTTAAACATGTCTGATTATTATCAATGTTGCAAACAGTTGTGCTGCATAATATTTTGTGTGGAAACGGATTATTATAATTTTTTTTTTCTCCAGGATTCTTTGATGAATAGAAAGTTCAAAACAACAGCATTTATTTAAATCTTTTGTAATATTATACATTTAAATGTAATACATCCTTGTTTTAATTAACATTTTAAAGCATTAATTCTAATATCTCACTGATACTAACCCTTTAAGATTTTGAAAGATCTTGACTTGACGTTTCATTTTAAGCATGACGTTTAAAAATGTTTACATTTCAAACTTTATCTTCTTCTTGACTGATTATTTGGCAGAACTGACAATAATTAAGAAATTTCTACTCAAAAAAGTTAACATTTTCAAGACTTGCTGATTTAAATGATATACATCGCCTGCTGCAGTTTAAAATATTAATCACCAGATAATGCATTCTGTTTCCAACATTATATCGTTTTTTAAATAGTATGCAGAATACAGTTCATACTAAGCAGTATTCTTGTACAGTGCTGTGAAAATGTTTTTGCCCCTTCCTGTTTTTTATTTATTATTTTTTTGCAAGTTTGTCACACTTAAATGATTCAGATCATCAAACAAATTGTAATATTACACAAAGTGACGTGACATGTGACATGTGGCCAAGTATGGTGACCCATACTCGGAATTAGTGCTCTGCATTTATCCCATCCAAAGTGCACACACACAGCAGTGAACACACACACACACCGTGAACACACACCTGGAGCAGTGGGCAGCCATTTATGCTGCGGCGCCCGGGGAGCAGTTGGGGGTTCGGTGCCTTGCTCAAGGGCACCTCAGTCGTGGTATTGAAGGTGGGAGAGAGCGCTGTACATTCCC